ACCATCTACAAAATAGTTCCATTCATAGTCTGCCCTTTTTTGCAAAAAATTTTGCGAAAATTTCAAATTTGTTTCATACATTTTGTTGGTTTGTCCCAAAAAACAAATTTACCCAAATTTGAACGAAAAAAAAAAAAAATTGGCTGTGATGTAAAGTGAGAAATCAACATTTCTGTAACAAAACTTGAAGATTTGAAAGGGGATACTTCTTCATTCACAAAAAACAATAGTACATAAATTATTTTACCTATTTTAATATAGTAATACTTTTTTCTAACTGTGTTTGATCACTTTTCTTAAAATTCAGCTTTGAAAAAAATTTTTTTTTTAACTCACAATAAAGTAAAAGATACCTTTGACACGAAACCAACATAACAATAGAAATGTGAACTATAGCAGTTTTACAGCTACACCATTAAAATCAACATATGTCACGATGTGATTTATCTTCAATAGTTCATTAGGTCACAATACAATCAATGCTTTGTAGTTGATGAGTCTACGAACCCAAGGGTTTGATTGAGTTATTGCTTAACCATGTAGTGTACCAATACTATGGTTGCTAAGATACCAGTTAACAAATCAGGTGATATTTACAGATACCACTGGAAATTCACAATGTTGTCATTCTTTGTTTTAACCTGGTCCTTGAGAAAAAAAAAATTGACCTTAGACTATGAACTAAATGATTTACCTCAAAGGTTATATAAAAAAACACTTGGTAAAATTTTTTCATATTTCTTTCTCATGCACAATATTTCAAACTGGCTACTACTATAATATTTTATTCATAAACAATTTTATTTTATTTCAACTTTACTTCAAAGTTATGAATGTGCAATCTGACGCTTATTAATCTTCATCAGGATATGCCACCACTTAACCTCCTCAGTTTGGTTAAAAAATGAATGTGCATCTTAATGAATAAATCTTTTGGGGAAAAAAATGGCTGAAAAATTCAAATTATAAAGGTGATATATTTGATACTGTATATTTAATAGAATAATAAATTTAATATAAAACAATTGTAAGTAATACAATTGTCGAGGTCAGTTCTCGTGACCTTAACTATTATTAGTAGTCTCAACATATCTCGTGACTTATCTTTAAGGGCATGTTGGAACAACACAACAAAACAACGTAAGCTAATACTGTTGACACAAGACTACAAAGGTGTGGTGTCTGGACCGTAAACGACAAACCATGGCTGCAAATACACCAGACGGGACTGCCGATAACTCGCTAACTTGTTCTCAGTTTTCGGAGCATTACGAGGATATCAATATATCATCTTGTCAGGATTCTTTTTGTCAGCGATGTTTGACACAACAGGTGAACGACCCTGGCGAACTGGAATGTTTCAATTGCCGACGACGCCTTTCCGCGAGTAGCATTCAACAGCCTCCCGAGAGTGTATTAATAAACTCGACAATGGAATTTCAAGAACGGAAAAGCAGCGGGGTGGAGACAAAATATGCAATTGTTGTCGACAGAACCCACCAACAATGAGATGTGTAGATTGTGCCATGGATTTTTGTATGACAGGTAACCTGATTCATGGCAATTTGCCAACGACTCGGCAACACCACACTCTAACAACTGAGGACTTTGAAAAAGCTAAAACGAAAAATGTCTCAATAGCTCTGTCTGTAATTCATTGCATTGCATCATGAAGAAAACTTGGTTCAACTTTATTGCAATGCATGCAAAGAACCAATCTGTAATTTGTGTTTGGGATTGGAACACAGAAGCCACGATGTTGCGGGCATACAGGAGGCAGCGGACCAGTTCTCGGGAACAGCAAAAAACTACATCAAACGATTAACGGCGAAACAGATAGAAAATCAACAAAGCGAAATAGACGCATCAAATCAACTTCAACTATTAGAAAAACAATTTGCCCAACAAGAGGAACTGATACGAAGACATTCCATGGAAACGATAAACAGAGTAACAGATTTGATAAGAGAACAAGAAAAAAACTTCATTGATGATTTGAAGGCAAATTATGATAGAATAAATGAAACAGTCAGAAGAGAAATACACCAGTATCAAATAAATGAGGAGCAGCTTACAAGTACGATAACGTCAATAAATGAAATATTACATTATTGCAGTGCTGCACAGCTGATGAAAACAAGCGAGGAAACCATAATTCAGTTAGACAAGATGGTATCACTACACACGACTTGGAATGAAAAAAACAGCATACTTCCAGCGTTTGAGACTGGTAGTGTAATCGTGCAGGGAATTCTGGGACAGTTTGAACCCGGGGAAATGGAAGCAGCAGCATCATCAGATGAAAGTGACGACCACGATGAGATAGTTAGAGGATTTGTGCCTGGTGGTGTGATCCAGAATGATAATATGGGGCAATTTCAATTGGAATTGACAGACCCTACATCACAAGATGGAAGTGGTTACTATGACGATTTGGGTCTGGAGTTTGAATCGGTGATAACTGACACGGCTTCAGAAGACGAATGCGATGATTCTACCGGCACATTTACAGTGTTTGAGTCAGAAGATGAGACCCTGCATGGAAACCTAGATAAACTTCAATCAGTGATAACCAACACAAACTCAATAGAAGGAAGTGATGACCAAGCTGCCACACTTCCAGAGTTTGACCCAGCTGATACAACCCTGTATGGAAATCTGGAAAAACTTCAACTAATGGTGACAGACCCAGATGGAAGCAGTGACCTTGACGGTATCCACAGGGGAGTCAAGATAAAAGCAAGAAAGGTAGCGATGAAGTTGGAGAGGGAATTAAGAGGGTATGTAAGTTTAGGAGGAGTGAACATTGATGAGGACGGTGATATCGTGGTTGCAGGGAAAGATAAAATTCAAATTTTTGATCTGCATAGACACAAAAAAGAGTTGACGTTTCCGGGATACAAAAAGATCGTCTCCCCGGTAGATGTAGCCATATCAGCTAAGAACAATTACTTCATAGCAAACGCGGATATGGACAACACCCAGTTGATGGTTTGCGAGAAGAAGGATGGGAAAGTATTGAAGTGTTTCGGTGGAAAAGAATTACAGTGTCCGCGTGGCATCGCCATCAATCGCAATAATGGCATAGTATACGTAGTAGATATGGGTGCGCAATGTATACGATTATACCAGATGAAAGATTTCAAGTACGTGAAATCCATCGGTGGTGTCAAAGACTGCTGCCAGTTCAAATGGCCAGAGTTCATAGCTATTAATAGTAAAGGACGCATAGTGGTAACTGACGAACAACGTATTCAGGTTCTGACGCCAGAAGGCGAGGTCACGTTTGAGTTTCGCGGTGGCCACCAACATTTCAAGCCTACGGGAGTAGCCACCGACAGTATTGACAATATTTATGTATGCGTTGATAAGAAAATACAAGTGTTTAATAGTGAGTGTGAATTCATCGCTAATATCGGTGTAGGAATTTTGAAAAATCCCAGAGGCATAGCAATTAATAACAACAATATCATAGTCACTGACGGCACATATGTCAAGATATTTAAACGTCCACGTTTATAAGTACCATACTTGTTTTATTAGTAGCGCATATCTTTACCTTTTGAATTCTATAATTGTACCCACCAAAAATTGATAAAACAGTTTGCAGATTTTTAAGTATTTTTCTTGAATTTTGTTGCTATTTTTGGACCAAATAGTCATAGTTTTCTACTGGTCTTGATATAAATTATTGGAAGCAAAATAGAAAAAATGTTGCGGGTTTAATTTTGTGTACGGTGACAAAAAATGAACACTCAAAGAGACATACATAAATGTCTAAGTGTATCGTTAAACCAAGTCATAATTTAATGATATACTCCATACTGTAACAAGGAATGCAATTTTTGGTTTTAGTAGGCTTCCACCAAAGATGGACTTGTCAGCTATACAGGTTTTTTGTCAAATTATACCTGTACCTAAGTGGAAATGCAACTTTACGGTAGCACTAGGGGGGGGGGGCATATTATTTTTTTCATTTTTAGACTAAAGCGGGAAGGTTGACACCTGTGTACGCGCAGGAATTGAGTCCTAAGCAACGATAAAAACACACGCTAATAACGCAAAGGCTCATGGGTAGACGTTTGTGATAACTCCCTTGCTTTAATTTCAAAACAAAGAGGGCAGTGTGTTTTTATAGAGAGCTTAAGATGAGAAACAAACAACATATTAACAGTGTTTATCCCAGGGAATAAAAGCTTCCCCA